GAAGTTTCATGTGTTTTTATTTCACACGGTTTGTTTTCATAGTTTAAACTTGAATGAGAACGGTTCGAGACCGAAAGTTGTTCGAATCCTACCGGTTCTCATTCAAAATGCGGCGCGTAGTTTTGTTTGACTGGTTTGTATTTTGAATGATGACGGTTTGAAACAGGAAATTATTTGAGTCCCACGTTTTTTTCATTTCAAGTGAAACCTGTGTAGTCGTGTTGTATGCTTTGAAGGGTGGCCCGAAGTAGCTTTGAAGAACCATTTAGCGCAAGTTGTTCTCACGACGTCGAATTCGACAGGTCACTTGGTGTCGAGCATCGTGGGCCTCAATGATGGTGAGGACGAGCAATGCAAATGGTTGAAAGTTGGTCGTGATATGCAAGAGCTCTGTCGTCGCAAGCCTGGATCCCGACTCAGTGTGGCACAACAAGTTTGCAGAGATCGAGATGGCAACGTGGTGTCTGATGGCTCATCTGCCCAGAGTTCTCAACTCCTTGGTCGCGAAGGACTTCGAGAGCGACAGGCCCTAGGGCAGATCAAGAGCATCCAAAGTCTGGCGGCCCAGTCTGCACAGAGTCATCGGCAGGTGGAAGCGGACATGTTCCAAGTCCGACCTTCCAAACTGGTGGTGCCGTCACAAGGGTCGCCTGCTTCTATGTTTGAGCCTTCGACCTGGGCAATGGCATTTCCGGACTTGTTCCCCTGGGGCGATGGAGTTCCATTTCTGAAGCGAGAGACTCGCATGGATGCAGCAGAGGTCTTCCGATACCTGCTCATCCGCGAGGAGCTGCAGTACAAGCTACCGTCAGAGTCGGAGCTTGTTTCTGCCCCTTTGCCACGATGGTCTCTATCAGTGGCTCGCCAGGTTGGTGGTTGACGATTTGTAGATTAGCATCGAGTTAACTCGTTTGTTTTTCTTTTAGATTGTGTTCCGGATGCAGAGCGTCAAGAGTTGAGTTACGTTTTTTTTTGGTACCGACACTCCGACACTCGCTCTTTTTTGTTTAGGTTTATGTTTGGAATTGTCACGAACCAGTGGAATCTTGTTAAGGAGACATTGTTGCCTGTGATGTACGATGTGCAGCGACGATTGGAGCTTATGAAGTCTACCAAAGCATATGTGCAGCGTCGTGGCTTCGCAAAGCATCTCAATCTCATCGCCAATGTGAGCACAGAAGATCTTTTGAAGGCAATGGCATTGCATGGGGAAGCTGCGGACATTCGAACTCTGATGCAAGATGCCAATGTAGATCCAGCTTTGAAACGTGCTCTGGGCGGAGTGCTGCAATCAACCGCCAATATCATCGGCTTGGAAGGACATCGCAGTCAAATTCGACTTCGTGGTCATGCAGCCGGTTGGCACTATGGCAATGCGCATCTTTTTGTCACACCCAATCTGGCTGACGTTCGTGCACCGTTGATGTTGCAGCTGCATCTGCAGACGAATGGCATTGCCGAAGTGGAGGCACAGAGTATTTGCTTGGATTGGGACGATGAAATCCCGGGCTTGCCTACGGCTGCGACCATGCGAAGAATCATTGCTCGAGATCCAGTGTCCCAGGCTCGGTTTTTCCATCTTATGATGAAGATCTTTTTCGAAGAGCTGCTTGGCATCGAGCCGACTTTTCAAAAGGAACGGTATACAGTTGGATTTCCACGCTGCTTCGAAGATGGCATGGCAACTTCATTGTATGGTGGCATCTTTGGTGATATTGCTGCTTTGTGCGGCCCGCTCGAAACGCAAGGAGAATCGAAGCAAGTAAATCGGATGAGTTTTAAATCTTGTTTGCAAATATATATCGTGGATGATATGCCATATGATCTCATTGATGTGGTTCTGTGCGCCTACCTACATACATACATACATACATACATAATTTGATACATACATACATACAGACATACATACATACATATATGCATACACACATGATATATGTTTGCTTTGGATACCGATTGTTCGAGGTCGGTAGTTGTTCGATTCCGGGAACGTAAGATTCACTGATGAAGTAAAAAATACTAGTGACTGTCAGGACGTGGATCCATGCATCCACATATCCTCATCGTCTTGCTGGGTCATGACCTCATCAGTCGTGTGCACACCTTGATGCGTCGCATTGGACATGGCGAGCTGGTGGTGGAACTGCAAAGGTGGAGTCGCAAAGTGTTGGAAGCTGCTGCGAAGATTCGCTGGGACAGTCAATTGGCTTTGTCCGATTGCTTGAATGTAGAAGGTACACCTTTGCCGTTTTCCGAAAAGCAACGCAGTGAGTGTGGCAAACAATATGCGGAGGTACCGCTTCAAGCAACGGAACCAGATGGTCATGAGATCATTGCCGATCGAGAACAACAAGTTGGTCCTCCACGTTTGACTGGCTGCTTTGCATCGCTGCGACCGCGATATCTACGACGCAAACTTCATGAAGAGTTTCCCCGTGAAATTTGGAAGACTGCCTTTTCTTCTGATTATCGACGACTGGTGATTCAGAATCATTTCCACAAGTGCACAAAGTCGTGTTTCAAGAAGATCCTCGTCGACCAATTTAGTGCATTTTTTTGTTTTGATAGAAAGTTCCTTTCGTAACCACCTTTTGGAGCATGTTGTGCATAAGTTTTGAAACTAGTGGCCAGAACTCAAACGGAAATATTATAGCGGTATATACTTGTGGGACTATATGATGAGACCATGTTGAAATACAAAAAGGAAGAACATTGTTCGAGACCGGAAGTTGTCCGAATCTTACAATTTGTCTTCCATCAGAAGTAGTAAAGTCGATGTATATTAAGATCTGTTTGATATGGGAACCTGGTAGTGAGAGATAATATTTTGTTTCTGTGGTGGAAAATTGTTCGAGACCGGAAGTTGTCCGAATCCTACAATTCATATTCCACCATCTTTATACGGATAAATGTATAGATGTATGGAAATAGTAGCAAGAGTTAGGACACGGTTTGGAACATCTTCATGACGATGGTGTGTTTTTGTTTTTGCCAGGAGTGCCAAGAAGGGAAAGCGAGGCTGTCGATTTGGTTGCTTTCATGTCGAACTTTTCAAAGACGAGACGGATGGGAAGATGAAAACACGTTGCTATAAAGGATGGCCTCGAGTTCAAGAACCTCGATTTGTTCGATTGCCTCATGAAACAGCCGATGTCACATTGCTGGAGCATTTCAAAAATGAGAATCCACACGTCATGCAGCCTCGCCGTGATCATCCTTTCGAGGGCATGAGCAATCCTGCAGCTCAAGTGGTCATGCGATGTAACGTGGATGTGAAGTATTTGGGTCGTGCATTCGATGCAGCTGATTTGGAGAAAGTAGCATCAGAAGTCGGTGGTTTGTCCGCACTGGATCCTCAAGCATTGCCTGATACTGATGCTGAGCCACAACAGTCTACAAGTGCCTCCAGTGTTGATGTCCCAATGCACGACGTCAATTTGGACAGTGGAGATGTCGATGACAGCATGCAAGTTGTTCGGGAACAGGTGAAAAAGCGGAAGACTGCCACCATGAATGCTTTGGGCCCTCACAAAGATACTTCGCAGTTCTCGCATACCATGGAGCGGATTCTGATTGATATGTTTCGTGACATGGAGGATGTGCAGTTCTACACTGGTGAGTATGCAAGTAAGAAATTTGAGGTCTCCAGAAACTTGCTCCCTGAACTGTATGCTGGTGTGCAGAAGTTGGAAACAGAAGAGACCGAGCGTCTCCAAAGTGCCAGCATCGAAGAAGATGCAACTGCGCCCCAGGCAGCGTCCTCTGCCAACCTGCCTGGGGGTCAGCAGCAGCACAGGGCACTCAGCATCCTCCGACGCCTGGCTTTCGGCATGCAGCGATGCGTTGCAAAATCCAACGGAGAGATGGCGTACCAGCTTTTGTACGAACAGGAACAGTATGTGACGTTTGGAGGGTACAACATGTTCTTCCGCTACATCCCCTATGCAATCATGCAATGCCGATTGCAAGCACTCACGGATGCGTCAGCCGACCATCCTGAGTGCGCCGTGCCACCCCTCGATGTCCCGCCTCCTGATGCAGCGGCAGCCTTGCCCATTCAGGAGGTGGCGGACATCGAGGAGGAGGTGGACGGCAGGGGAAGCAAGAAGCAGCAACTGGCACACTTCAACCAGAAAGATGACTTCTTGCATCGCGGTTCCCATCCACTGCTTCGTTCCATGTCGCTGCTGATGTATTCCAGGTTTGTTCGACGTGTGGATCGCTCCAAAGCAGGTCAGGCCGATGGATTGCAGTTCTTCGAGTTCGATGCACACTATCCACATCACCGTTCTTCGCTGCAAGAGGTCCGACTTGCGGACAACAATGTGGTCGTGCCAACCGACCTTCGTCTCCCGGCCGACCACGAGACAGAAAAGCTGGCTGCTTACATGTTGGGCTTGACTTTTCCGTTCCCAACTTGCACCGGCGATTGCAACAACTCGCAGCATTGCTTCGCTTGTCATGTCGTGGAAGTACATGAAAGCCGTCGGGAGATCACTGCACGATTTACACCCGTTTGGCGGCATTGGAATGCCAGCGTGAAAGTTCGACAAGAAGCAGCGCAGACAAGAATTTTGGCTGGTCTATCCGTACCGGTGTTGCGAGATGTTGTTGGTGTGCGAGCATGGTACAGTGCAAAAGCAACTCCTGGACGTCGTTTGTTCGCCGACTTCATGAAGAAGCTTGTGCAGCAACATCTGGGTCGGGTCGAAAGCGTGTTTGTGGATATTCCCCGCATTCATGAGCTGATCTGTATGTATTTGAATGTCGAGCCACAGTCGCACTATTCACAGTTGACTCCTTTGGAACACTTGTGCACTTTGCAGTTATCGTGGTTGGAACGATACAGGTTACACCAGGCGGCACGGCGACTCAGCAGCAGTCAACGTCGCGCCGAGCGCTTCGCCTACATGAGCAATGTTGACATGGAAGAAGCCGATCCAGAGGAGGATGAGACGGGTGCGGTGGACATTGAAGGCGAAGATGCAGATGATGACATGCAGCACGCAGATGCATTGGAACGCATGGAGTGTGCTCCACATCCAATCCACAAAGACTCTCTGGCTGATGCTTTGTTTCGTGATCGTGAGTGGTATGCTGTCATGGCGAACTCCAAGGCGAAGGCGTTGAAAACTTCTCTGCAGAAGTTGATGCAATTTGTGAATTGTTTGGGTGGCGTGCCCGATGTCAAGCATGGTATGGGCATCCGAAGCAATGGCACGACTGAGCTGGATCGGACATGGAGTCACGCAGATACTGGACGAATTTTTGCGGCGCAAAAGCAATATTTGGAATACATTGCCGGAGGCTAGGGTTTCTCGAACGTGTTTCCTTTGATGTAGTGACTGGATGATTACACGTTTGGTTTAGTGTATTTTTGGACTTTTTGGTTCAGTTTTATTTAACCGGTTTGTACTTTGAATGAAAACGGTTCGAGACCGGAAGTTGTTCGAATCCTACCGTTTTTCATTCAGAGTTGTTTAACCGGTTTGTTCTTTGAATGAAAACCGTTTGAGACCGGAAATTGTTCGAATCTTGACGTTTTTCGTTCAGAGTTTAACATGTGTGAGCAGTTCTCAACATTTTTTCCGGTGTTGTCTTGTCAAGTCTCATCTGGTCACAGGTGCAGAAACTGTGGATGCTGATATGGAGGATGTTTTTGCGGAGAACAGCTTCACTGAGTTGGAGACCTTGGATCCTTTTCTGATGTCATTGAATGACCGCAAGCTGTCACCACGGGACTATGCATTGGAACTCGTGAAGGCGGGATTAGGATGAAAACAACAAGATTTTGTCTAACAAGTTTCCTTGTGGTGTTTTGTTTGTAGCCCATTGTGATGCATTTAGCTCTTGTGTTTATGTTTTACAAAATGGTGTTTTTTTGGTTTGGTGAGCTGCCCGGTTGGATCCCGCGGGAAAATCAAAATGATTTGTTTTCATCCGCAGGAATATACGTTGAACAAGCAACAAGTGTTGGCCATCGCGCCCGTGGTCTGTGCCATCCAAGACATGTTTGAGCATCGTTCCAATCCGATGTCTCATATTGCCGATGGCTCCTCCCGTGAGAAGTGCAACTGCTTGTGGCTCGGTGCAGGTGGATCAGGGAAGACTTGGGCTTACACCAAGGTGATCCGACCTTTGCTACAACGCTTCTTCGGAAGCAAAGGATACATTGTCGGTGCCCCGACGCATGCCGCAGTTCGTCTCCTTGGACCCGAAGCTCGCACGTTGCACAAGTGGGCCAATGTCAACCCCAATCAGGGCATGGACAGAAAGGACATCCGCTCCGCCAAGTCCAAGGGGGATGCCATTGAATCGCAGATCTTGAATGCCAAGGCTGGAATCTTCGACGAGATGTCCATGACTCCGCCGGATGTGTACCATGCCAGTGGGTACAGATTCTCAATCTTGCGACAAGAGTCACAGCAGCTGGATTTGGAGAAATATCTGCAAGAGTGGTTCGGTGCTCTGCCGATTGGCATCCAATTGGGCGATTTCCTTCAGTTGCGTCCAGCCATGCAAAAGTCGCTTTGCGAGTGGGTGAAGCCAGTAAATCCCACGATGGATGCAACACTTCCAGATGAAGATGACGAGTCCAGGGACGTCAGCAACGCGTCCGAGCTTGGAAGGTTGCTGTTCAAGAACTCGCTGGGCAAAGTGGTGCACTTCACCGGCACCGGTCGTTTCTCCGACTGCACTTCTGGAAAGCAACTGGTGGCTTTGTTGTCCAGCATGCGGAATGGCACCGAGATCCCGGATGCCTTGCGGGACGCCTTGCAAGAGCGCAAATTTGAAGTTGGCAGCCACAAGACCCTGGACTTGAAGAAGCAATTGCTCCTGGCCCATTGGGGCGGTTTTGCATGGGAGGTGGTGGCGCGCCTGCAACAGTTACGTGCTGCGCTTGAAGCGAAGAAAGCCAACAAGATGTTGTACTTGATTCAAGCCATTGATCGACCCACTGGTGGCCAAGCTCTCAGCAAAGAGCAAACGTTGTCGGCTCTGCAAGTGGTCAACATGACAAACACGGGCTATTTGATTGGCATGTGTCCTGTGTTCGAGGGTATGCAGGCCCGCATCACCTGCATCCTCAAGGAGCCTATGTTGACGAGAGAATTGCCGGTCACCATTCGACAAGTACAACTGCATCCTCGTGAGCAAGGCATCGCTGGAGACGAAGGATTCCAAGTTTTGCAGTATCAACCGCTGGCTATTTTGGTTGAAATTGATGACCCCGAATACAGAAACTACAAAGTGCCAGGTTGTGATGCACCGGCGGGTCACTTTTATCTCCGTGCTGTCACCTGTGAAGGTTCCTGGTCGCTGCAGATTGGACACAAGCAGTACATCAAAATTGTGCGCAAGCAGTTTCCACTGGCTCCCAGAAACGTTCTGACGCACTTCGGATTGCAAGGTGTCACTGCGCGGCAAGGACTTGTTGCATTCTTGAGCAAGCCAGCGTGGATGTCCAATTCTGATTATGGGCTGGCTATGTATGTGATGTTGTCGCGTGCCAGAAAATTGGAAGATTTGCATTTGGTTGATTTGCCTGAGCGACACATCTTTGAAAAGTTTTTGCATGAGCACAATCCTTTGTTGGTCGAAAGAATGCGCACCTTTGAGGCACAAGCTTTGCAAGATGAGACCAATGCGCTTCGATATATCAAGCGTTTGGACTGGCACCAGCAGGAATACGTTCAAAATCTGTTTCCAAGACTCGCAGAAGAGCCAACTGTGCGGCATCGAATCCGTGGCAAACGGACCGTCCCACAGTGAAGAGATGGTCGCAATTCGCTGGCATTTTTTTCTCGACGTTTCTTTATTGGAGATACTAGCTGCAGCATAACCATTACAGACAGACTTCGATGGTGTTACTACACACGTCACTGCAACAGGTTTCCAATGCTTCCATATTCGTTGCAAATTTTCGTTTTTGTAGAGTCATTTTCCAGGCATCTGCGTGTACTTAAGATCAGAGCAGCTTCGTGTGCAAAAGTGGTTCGTGCATGCACGTGCATGTGGGGCATAGCCGTTGTAGACAGACTTGGATGATCAATCGCAACCGGAAGTTGTTCGAAGCCTTTGATCACCGGGTTTGACTTCGATGG